GACAGAGAAGGCAATAAACGGACACGGGCCGGGCAGTCCCCTCCCCTTACAGCCCGGAACGGGCCGGGCAGGAACACCACGGGACGCCTCCCGGCGCCGCCTCGCACAGAGCCGAATCCTCTCCCCATCGGCCGCCTTCCAACTCCGTCGCGGCCCCGCGCCCCGACCCGCTCCGCCGGAACCCCGCACCGAGCGAGTCCCGAGAGCGGCCCCGCACCGCCCGGCCCCGCCGCACAGCTGGATCCCGCGCCACTCACCGCTCCGCTCCGCCGGGGGTTGCCGCGCCGAGGCAGGGGCCGCTCCGCTCCGCGCCCCGGGGCTCTCCGCCGCCCCGCGGGGCCCGCGCGTGGGCGCAGCGGCGGGGCGGCGCCGGCGGAGGAGCGAAGGGGGGAGCGCGGCGGCGGCGGCGCGCACACGGCGGCGGCTCCGCCCTCACCTGCTCAGGTGCGCCGGGCGCAGCCGCGACGCCGCCCGCCCCGCCCCTCCCACGGCTCCGCTGCGCTGCGCCCCGTCGCCACGGGTGGGGGCAGCCCGACCTCTTTTTTTTTCTTTCTTTCTTTCTGCTCTGAAGTGGAATTCTAAAAAACAAAATGAATTTCGTCCTTTTTTTTTTTTTTCCCCCCGCCCCCCCCGGCCGCCCCCCCGCGCCCCTCACTTCATAACCCGTTTGGCCCAGCGCATCCATCCATTACGTTTTAACCAAAACTTAAAGCCTCAAAAACTTAAAAAGACCAGCGCACAGCCGCTTTCTCACCAAGCCGTACCAACTTTCCTCCTCCCGCAGCCCCGGCCCTGCGCGCACCCTCCTCGCTGCCTGCGGCATCCCTCAGCATCCCGCCGGTCTCGCTACTCGTTCGCCTTTCATTTCTTTTCCCTGTAGGTGGAGAGCCGTGACTCAGTGGTGAATCTTGGTTTCAGGAGATCGCATAATGCTTCCCCGTTCAGTTTCAATGAACTAGAACAAACAGTGGGGAATTTCCCTCCTCCTCCATCATGGAACACCGTGGACGGTGCTGAATCCTGACTTTGGGAAGACTAACCCACCCCCAGAGCTCAGTGCTACACCAAGATTTAGGAATTATATGTGCAGAATGCTGAAAACCTTCATGTGAACAGAAAATGGAACTCTGTATTTTCCTTGGGAAGTGTGCCTTGCAAGGTGCCAAGTGAAAGAGAAACCTTTCAGCCTTATTCGTCACTGAAGCGTGGCCATTGGAAGTGACATTGAGCAGGAGTTTGTCAGAACAGAGCAAAATGTCTGGCAGTGAGAGACAAACATCTAAGGTTGATGTTTTCATTGTAGGACTGTGCTGTGCTGGTGAACTTCAGATTTCGCTGGTTGGTTTTCCCCAACTTTCTTGATATGGAAAGTGAGGGACAGCTGCTCCTTAATAACACCTCCATGTTATTAGTCCTGCCATGTGCAATCATAGAATGGCGTGGATTGAAAAGGACCACAGTGTTCATCTCGTTTCAACCCCTTGCTATGTGCAGGGTCATCAACCACCAGACCAGGCTGCCCAGAGCCACATCCAGCCTGGCCTTGAATGCCTCCAGGGATGGGGGCAATGCAGTGGCCAGTGTGGTGAGCAGGCTGAGCTCCCAGAGTGTGGGAGACCTTTGATCTCCTCCTGAGAAACTCAGCACCAGCACTGGGCACATCGACCCACATTCCTGTCACCTGCACTGCTGTCTGCTGGCAATGGGAAAGGTTGGAGTGGTTCACATTGGTGGCCGGATGCTCAGAACACCTCAGAATGTTCCCTGGGCAGAGCTCTGCTCCTCCCATGCCTGCCCTGGGGATGCTGCAGACTGCCCATCCCAAGGAGTGCTCGTGCTGCTGTGCCTGAAATGATGGAGCAGTACAGAATGAGTGAAGCCCTCACTGCACCTCCAGCCTCACAGCAGCCGATCTCCTCGCACAGCCAGGCCTGCCCTGCAGCCATCCCAGCCTCTGCTGGGATGCTGTTGGAGAGGGTCCAGAGGAGCCACAAAGATGATCAGGGGGCTGCAGCACCTCCCCAAAAAGACAGGCTGAAGGAGCTGGGCTTGTTCAGCATGGAGAAAAGGAGGCTGTGGGGTGACCTCATTGCAGCCTTCATAGGGAGCCTACAAACAGGAGGGGAATCAACTCTTGGAAAGGGGAGATAACAGCAGAACAAGGGAAAATGGTTTGAAGTTGAGGGAGGGAAGATTGAGGTTGGATGTCAGGGGAAGTTCTTTACAGAGAGAGCGGTGAGGTGCTGGAACAGCTGCCCAGAGAGGCTGTGATGCCCCGTCCATCCCTGGAGGTGTTCAAGGCCAAGTTGGATGGGGCCCTGGGCAGCCTGGGCTGCTATGAAATGTGGAGGTTGGTGGCCCTGCGTGTGGCGGGGGGTTGGAGCTTCATGATCCTTGAGCTCCCTTCCAACCTTGGCCGTTCTGTGATTCTGTGAAGGGTGCTGCAGCTGCCAGGCACATAACACAGAGCTGTGCAGGGCTTTTCCCTGAGTTCCTCCAGGGCACTGCTGCAGCATGTGGCAGCTTGTTGTGCTGGGGAGCTGACAGGAGCTGTCTCTTTTTCCACGCTGTCGGTGGGGAAACTCTGCAGTGTTTCAGTCGTATGGGCGATGCTCTGCGGATGTGTAATCAGATATTCCCCTTTGCAACTCATCACCGAAATTGCTCATTCTGATGTGACATTTCTTAGCAGGTATCACCCTATGAAGCATTGATCGGAACCCTTCAAGGAGCCGAATAGAACCTGGCTCTTTATTACAGTGACCTGCATCTGTTTTTTGAGGTGTGCAGAGAAACTCCTTAGGTTGACAAACTGTCCTTCACAAAGTGATGTCCTGCTGGCCATGGGGCAGCAGCTGTGTCTGTAGTCTGCGGAGTGCATGCTTTGGACTGCAGGAGTGTCTGCAGGGCAGTGTTCATACCAGGAGCGATGGTATTTCATTTCAATACCAAAATCACATCAGTACTTGTGTTAACCTGATTCCATGCCCCGATATGAGCAGCAGCACCAGGCAGGCTTTGCAGCTCAGGTCTCTTTCAGTCCTCTGTTCCTGGCTAGAAAAGCTTGTAGTCATCGAAACAACGAGGAGCCATTTTCTGTCCTGGGAACAGATCACTAAGTTCCCATAAGGCAAAACACAATTATGCAATGAGGCAGCATACTGTCCCAGGCATGCACAGTCTTGTTATGCACTCTCAGTGCTCACATTCCAACATGCAGCCGCTCACAGAAGCGCTGCACAAAACGGTGCAGAACCCTTCAATGCGCTGCAGAGCCACGCAGAATCCTCCAGTGCAATGCAGGAGCATGCAGAGCCCCCCAGCTCATTTCCCAGCAGAAGCAGCTATGCTTCTTGCAGGCTCTTTGACCCAGATAGAGCCGTGCCCTCACCAGGTATCAGGTGAAATGAATCAAGGAATGTCAATTGAGGAAAAGGCCTCATGTGGTAAATGGAATGGGGAATACAACAGATGAAATGCCACAGTAACAGTCGGTTAGCAGAGGTGCTTTCCAGAGGTCTGGCTGAATGGTGAGATCCTATGAAATTCAGATGCCACACTGCACCATTGCCAATGAGTTACCTCAGAGGGGTGAAACTTGTCCACAGCACTTGTAAAAGGAAGAATTAATCTTAGTAATCCCATTGCATTCTAGGTGCAGAGAAGGACAAACACGATTCCTCCAAATTAGCAAGCCCAAATAGTTGACTTTAATTGAAAGAGAAGAGCTTTACCCTTCCCAACAATTCCCCTGGTCTTTCCCACCCGTTGCTATTACTGCTGAGCAGCTTTTGTCCTCTTCGTGTTTAAGATCCTGAAGTGAATGCATCATTCACTGCCTGGGCATCCTCACACACTGAAAATTACTGACACCCACAGCTGTGCTCTACCTCTGCAGATCTGCATGCACACACACAGGCATCTCCCCATGCACACGTTCTGCTATTGGCAGCACATTGACAGCTGGAAGCAGATTAAGAGGAAGCCCCACTGCAGACACAAAATACTCCCACAGCAGCAAATTTTAGACTGACTGTTGAACTCTCTTTTTCCATATTAGAAACTCTTCTTCCCAAGCCAATCTGCGTCCAAAAAAGAACAGCTTAAATCCTGGTGGTCTTTAATATTACTATAATGGGGAGTCTATTGTTTCCTATTAACACTACTCCAATCCTCTTAAAAGGAGAATCCTATCTAGCTATCAGCCTGGCTCAGGCACATTTTTAGCTACAGGTCATTTCTTTCCAGCTGACACAGATAAGTGGTTGGTTTCAAAACACCTGGGATGATGAAGATCAGGGCTGGAAGCCCCAGCAGGAATAGGGAACAGTGGTGGGAAGGGGGGCTTTTGGCAGCATTTGGCAGCATTTGGCAGCATTTGGCAGCATTTGGCAGCATTTGGCAGCATTTGGCTGTGACCAGCCCCATACCAGGCTTCTACAGAGCAAGAGGAGGTCAGTATTATAGCTAGACATGGCAAGCAGAAGTACTTCAACAGCAAAACGCACAGAAGAGGAATAAAGAGGCCTCAGGTTTTAAAAATACACATTTCTATATAGAAAGGAAATAAAAGACGTGTTGCTGTTCATTGAAAATGTCCATCATGTAGAGCAATAGGAACACTTGCCTCCGTGTATTCAATTCTTCAGCACTTTGTGTAGAGTTCAGCTTGTAGTAGGCATTCAATTAATTTTATATGTCAGTGGTCCCATTAACGTTAGCAGCTTCCCTCATGTGAGTGGAGTTGTATGTATTTTATCAGGCTTTGCTCTTAATGTTTCTCATTCACTTGCCTTATTTCACTGAAAAGTTGGAGCACTCCCTGCAAACAGGTGGTATGTGCTTCCATTAGAAAAAAAAACTAATGAGGGAGCTTATTATCCTTCTTTTTAATGAAAAGCATAATGAAGTGAACACAGCTTGTGGGCAGTGTGCAAAAGGAAGCTCAGTTCCCAAATTCTTCAGCATAAAGGTGTTGATGTGCAGGAGGACCCTGAGCCTCTGCAGTCTGGTTCTAAATAGGGCACAGCCCAGAACATCTGAAGGTCTCTGTGGCTCATGGGTGGGAATCTCCTAATGATCTTAGTTATTTTTATACGTGTCTGCTGCCACATGCTGCTCTGCCCCAGTGCAGAGAACAGCTCTGTGAGCACCCAGTGAGCGCACGGGGAGCTGGGCACAGCCTGGGGAAGGAGAAATTAAAAGACAGCAGCAACACAAAGTCACAATATTCACATCAAATTGAGGCACAGAACAGCCAGGAAAAGAAAAAGCAACTGAAGGCGTTATAAAGGAGCGTACAAGCAAAGGAATTTGGATTTTCTCTTCTCATACGGAACAAAATGGGACAGCAGTTTACCAACGCTGAAGGGGAACAGACAGAGATTGATGTTGCTGAACTGCAGGAATGGTACAAGAAATTTGTGGTTGAATGTCCCAGCGGAACCCTCTTCATGCATGAATTCAAGAGGTTCTTCGGCGTCCAGGATAACCACGAAGCAGCAGAGTACATCGAAAACATGTTCAGAGCTTTTGATAAGAATGGGGTAAGCAGTAAGGAGTTCTTATGCTGGTCTGTCAGTGATCAGCACCTTTCCTTTCCTCCTGCAAGATGCAGGTCTTCTGGTGCAGCTCCCAGTCGTGTCATGGTGCTCTATTGGGACAGAAGGGGCATGCAAGGTACTGCAGTGTTCTGCATGGGCTGGGATGGCCTCACAAATCTGCATACTGACTAAAGGCAGAACACCCTGATTGGAGTATTTGTAGATGGATTGAAAGGTTTAAGTTGTAGGCGGTCGTATTTGTGACAATATTACCGAAAGGACATCCAGTTATCAAAGGCTGAGTGGGAAAAAATCTGCTATGCCAGGGGGGTGACAGTGACTTGATGTGCAGTAGAAGAAGCGTGTGTACATATAAGCAGGTGGCATGTAACAAAACATTGATTGCAGTTGCTCAGAAGCAAAGGAACGTCATCCAATTCAGACCTCCTGGTATGGATTCCCTTTGCTGTAGGGAAAATGAGGCACCCTTTCCTGGGGTGCTTTCCCCAGGGCTCCTGGGCTAGCAGACTTGCTGGTTTAGTTGCAGTTTATACATTCTCATATGTTAGTGCAAAAGATAGCTTAATGCCCTCCTGTAATATTCACAGAAGTGAAATATGCTTGCCTTTCTCATCTTGAAATAGGTAAGGGATGCTTGACAGTCTTATTTTTCTGAAGCTCTTGACTGTATTCAAAGCAGCACAGATACTCTCAGCCCATGCAGTATCGTCTGGCAGTTTTGCACTGAGGTTTTGTAAGCGGTTTTCTATCAGTCATGGCCAGTTAAGCATCAGTGAGACTCTCCTCTTTTCCTTCAGGATAACACCATTGATTTTCTGGAATATGTGGCTGCCTTGAATCTTGTTTTACGGGGAAAACTGGAGCACAAGCTGAGGTGGACGTTCAAAGTGTATGACAAGGATGGGAATGGCTGCATAGACAAACCTGAGCTGCTAGAAATTGTTGAGGTAAGTCGGCATTGCCTCATCCCTCATTTCAGCAATCACAGTTCTTTGGCAACATTGTGATGCACTCAGTTTTTGTGATAACTGAGGTTTCAAGGCAGCTGTGGGCAGCAAAGCGACAGTGCCTGACCCTGGTGAAGGGTCAGAGGGTTGGTGGAGCCCAGCAATGAGAGCAGCAGTGCTGTGAGCTCTGGGTTTCTGCTCAGACCTTTCCTGTCAGATGTTTTACATCAGAACCCGCTGTCCTGGCCAAGAGGAAAATGCTTCAGCCCTGCTCCTCCCAGCAGCCAGGCTTCCTGACTGTACAGCAGCTGAGAATACGCTGGGAGGCACAAACTAGCAGAGAAATCCCATTTGTAATTAGTCCTTTCTGGGTTTCTGTTCCGTGCTTAGTTTTAATTAGTGACTGTGAAGAAGTGCGAGGAGGCATGTGGGTTAGCAGGCAGATACAGGTAACTGGCCTTTAACTTCAGGTGAATCCCTCAGGCAGTGTGCCAGCCACAGCTTCACCCTTTGATGGCCATATTGATGAGGTTCAACTGATGCTTGTATGATATTTTAGGATTTGGGGGTAAATGCAGTACCAAAAGAAATCAGCTGTGGAAATCAAGTCCTTTGGATGGCCAGCAGCTGGGAAATAGCAACCAGTGTGTCACCTGCAGGGCAGGTGGGGAGCATCTGGGAGCCAGACCTGGTCAGGTTCAATTATGGTTTTGAGGTCAGACTGGAATTGGCCAGAACTGTGTTAGGCCCTGGCTAATCCCCTCTATGGGAAGACATCAGACAAAACTCTTCAGCCTAATGAGCAGAGGTAATGATGAGCAGGTGGCTGTCATGTCAGGCGGAGGTGGAAAATGCCATTTTCTAATGGCAGAGTGAAGCAGGAGTTAGGGTACGTGATGCTGCAGGTTTGGGGCTTGCAGCTCAGGCAGGAGCTCCAGGGGAGCCGGGAAATGTAGTTGAGCCTGGATTTGGCTCTGCTGAGGCCTTAGGAAAAAGTCGTATTGAAAAGCCAGTTTTTTCTATCTGAAACTCTTGCCTTTTCTTTGCAAGGGGGCTCTGAGGTCTTGACCAGGTTCTGTGAGGGAAGTAAACGGCTTCAAGGCGCAGATAAAGCAATCCCTAGTTGTGAGTGTAAGATCAGAGGTGGATCTTTCTCAAAAGAGGTTAAAGCTGCAGCCTTTCTAAAAGGCCTCTGCACTGCTGGTAAAACAATGACTTTCATCACTGCTCTTCATTTTCTAAGCCCTTTTTCTGACTTGTGATCTTCCTTTCAGTCCATCTACAAGCTGAAGAAAGTGTGTCGGTCAGAGGTGGAGGAGAGGACCCCACTGCTCACACCAGAGGAGGTTGTGGACAGGATATTTCAGCTGGTGGATGAGAATGGGGATGGTAAGGAACTGATGGCTCAGATTGCATTCATGCATAATGAAAAGTTATCTCTGCTGGGCAGGCTGGTTTTAATTATGTTTATCAAGAAATCGCTTAGAATGATCGCATTACTCAGACAAGTTGGGTTTGGTTCTGGTCTGTTCATGGTCAGAGCTGAGAGCAGCTTGGTGCAGCAGGAGGAAATCTCTTATTTTAATGTAAAATATCACTGTTCTGTTTGCATGCTGCACCACCATTGTTCTCTAAGAGCCCACAGCAGCCACAGAGTGCATCCCAGCCTGTGAACTGCAGCCCAATGGTGCCTGCGGGGTGTGCTTGTGATCCTGGCTCAGCCTTGGGAGCTAAGGTGGCACTGCATGCTAGCCAAAGGGATGGGGAGGGGGGCTGGAATGAATGGATGGGGTTACAGCCCCGTTATTGGCCTTTTTTAGCCAGCTGACCTGTAGAGTTTGTATGGGGAAAACACAGGAGGTGGTTTTCACTTCCTGTTGTCCTCCTCTTGTGTCTGATCTGTCCTGTTTTGTCTCCCTGTCCTGTCCTCCTCACCTCCCACACAGGGCAGCTGTCCCTGGATGAGTTCATCGATGGGGCCAGGAAGGACAAGTGGGTGATGAAGATGTTGCAAATGGATGTAAACCCCGGGGGATGGATCTCAGAGCAGAGGCGGAAAAGTGCTTTGTTTTGAGGGAGCCCAGTTTTGATATGGCTGAAGATGTGATGCAGACTGTGGCTGTGGCTCTCTTACTCCAGGATGTAGTGGCTTTCCTTGTCAATACAATCTCAGCATCCAGATGAAAACTGCAGTGGCTGAAGAAGCTGTATCTCACTCTAAACCCATGTGCTGCGAGGACTCCTGGGACCCAGAGACTATTTTTGGCCAGTGAATAAGTCTCTGTGTGTACACAATGCCACTCTGGGTTTTGGTTACACCCCGAGGAACAAACTTTCCATGGTGAAGTGGAGCAGGATCTGGGCAGCATCTGGTCCAGGTAACAGAGCAGGAAAGTGAGAAGTCCTGGTGTGGCGGTGCCATCTCTGTTTGCATCGTTGATGTCTGCAGATAGCAGATGCTAACCCAAAAGCAGTAGGGGTGCTCTGATGACAGTCTGCACCATCTGCAATACTGTTATGGTTCATAAAGTGTTTGCATGTTTAGTGGATTATGCTACCAATAATGTAAAGTGATTGAACACCACTGTATTGTAGATTATAAGGTTTATATTCAGTGTAAGCCAAAGCTGCACACAGCCGAGGAAAAGGCAGGGGGAGCAGTCACTGCGAGTGCCTCCCTCTGCAGAGCAGATTCTGCTCTTTGCACATGGGACAAGGGCTGCAGGAAGAGCAGGGTGAGCTCAGAGTGTCACTGCCATGAGGAGGTGAGACTGCTTGGCTGGCAGGGTTGGAGAACAGGAGGGGACAGACAAATCCACTGTATTACTGAAGGGGTACAGTGGTTTTACATTGGACTTTCATTGAGCCACTCTGCAGAGAGAAAATTGGCACAGCTTGGAGGTTGAGCTCTGCTTGTTCTTACAGCTGACCCGTATACCTACATACCTCTATGAAAGAATTTGAGTTGGCCTCATTCATTGGTTCATTTCCCTTGGATTTATTTTTCCAAGTATTTTTTCCTTACAAGAAAATATTCACCTGCAAAATAACCTGAGCTTTCCTGTTTTACTTTTCCCATGGGATCACTGGGCCAAGCCCCATCCACGAAGATGCTGGCATTCTCTCTTTTGTTTTTGTGGGTTTTTTTGTGGCCTTTAATCATGACAGTAGTACCTTTCACCAGGTGACCACTTTGCTGGTTTGCAGTTTAGTCCACTTAACCAATGTTTAAGTCCAGGAATAGGAGGAAGTGTTTAAGGTAGGGCACAGTCAGTGCTGGAGACCAAATTTCCACTTTGAAGCAGCCTTTCTGAGAGCTCTCTGTAAATATGCTCTCACTCATGGCATTCCTGCTTATCAGAGCAGATTGGACTCCTCGCTTATGCTGCTGTAAGGAAGGGTTCAAGGCTCATTCAAGTCAACAGTTGATCCACCTGAAAGAAACATCTCCCTTCCAGTTGTGATATGGGGACCTGGGGGACAAGATTCACTTTGCTGATTTTCAGCCTCTCGGACAAACGTTCTCATGGCAGAATACAAATCAAGCCCTCACATTTCAGCATCTCAGGCAATGTGACACTTTGTTTCTGCTTCTCACAGTTCTTAACTCAAATGGTTCTGCAGTTACTGTAGTTTCACAGCCGTGGTTTAACCAAAATGCTGCGGGTTTTGGTGCCCTGCTCCCCAGTGGGGAGGCAGCTGTGCATCTCTGTGCACGCACTCCTGCACTGGGGTGGTAGAGGGCATCCTAACACCGAGCAGATGGTGCCAGGAGTTTTGTATCGTGCGTTTAATAAAGGTTGGTTTATTAAAAGTTGGTTTGTAGCAATTATTTTTCGCTAGAATGAAGCTGGAGACCGGAGCATCTGACCACCATTCTGGTGTTTAGGGCTGATATAAAGAGTTTAAGGGAAGTAATGGGAGTTAAGAGCAGCAGCTGAGCTGGGTGAGGCAGAGGTGGGGACCGTGTTGCAGACACAGAGCAGGAATGGAGTTCTGTATGGCTGCTATGCAACAACACGGGCAAGTGTGTGTGTGATCAATGCTCATCTTCTGAATGGAATTTGACAGAGCTGCTGACAGTGCTGTGAGCTGAGGGTGCAGCAGTGAAATGGCCTCTGGTTCGTCCCTGTGAGGGCTCAAGAAGGGACCAAAAAAACGTTTGGGACTCAGCTGCAGGACGCTGGCACTGACGGGGACAACAGAGGTGCTTGAGCTGGAGCAGCTCAGCGGAAAATCTCTTTCCAATCTTGTGATCTTTCGTTGAGAAATCACAAGGCGCTTTGGTCTCGGTCCTCCTTTTAAATCCACAGGTATAAAGGCTTTGATCTCCTCCCAAACTCAGCTCACACTTACATCAAGGTACCGAAGTCAGACATTCTGCATAATCCATTTTCCAGACTCGCAGCCCAGCTGGAATTGGATTTGGTTGATCGGATTTCTTGTTGGTCTAAATGGAGAAACAGGATGGCTTGGAGGGGGCAAATGCCATCTGATTTTCTGAGCTCCTTACCGTCAGCTCTGAGGTTTGATGCACGCAGGGTTGGGTGGGATTGAAGGTGAAATAAGTGGGTTGGGAAGCTGGAGGTGAAGCAGGTGGCTGAGAGTGAGGGGCTGTGAGTGGGGAGCACTGCATCCTCAAATGCTATGGGAGGGAGTGCAGCTCTGAGCAGCTGAAATCATGAAGCTGAGAAGGACAGAGGCTGGTTACACTGTGCTTAGCCACACTATGTATCTGTGTTTGTATTCGGGGAGGTGAGGCTCACCTGTGTGTTGCTGGGGCTCTGTGGCTGCCCAGGGGAAAACGTTGTGTGCAGCTCATCCCCAGAGCAGCTGGGATCCCCTTGGGAGTATTGAGAACCAATGGGCAGCTCAGGGCTTCAGCAGCCCTGTGGGTTCACCCACTGCTCCCCAAATCCTCCGCTCTGTGCAGGGGTTGTGCTGCACATCACTCCTTGTTGGCATTGCTGACAGCATGTCTGTGGCTCCAGCACAGCTGCTGCCATTTGGAAAAGAAAAATTAACCAATTTTGCTTGATTAGGGAGTCACAATATTAGTTTTCCATTGTTTTTACTTTGTTTCTGTCGAGGCTGAGAAAACATCCTCCTGAGAGCAATGCTGAGGGGTGCAAGCTGCCAGCTGGGTTTCTCAGACCCTTTTAGAGGAGCTTTGTCTTTAGGGTTCCTATGGCATTGAAATTGGGTGTGCTGGGGCTTCTTGCAGCAACTTGGGAGCACAGTGCATCCCTCTGCTCCCCAGGGCAGCAGACAGGGGCAGGATGGGGACAGAGGGAAACAGAGGGAAAGCAGCAGGAGCCTGGGAAGGCCAGGAAATAAAGCAGAACTCTCAGAGAAACAGCTCCAGGAGTACCCAAGGGTGAGTTCTGCTTAAAGAAAGCTAAACCTGTTCAATGCAAACGGCACTGAGAGCAGCAGGCAGTGCTCACTGTGAGAAACCAGGGCTCCTTCCTTGCTTGTGCTGTTCTTGCAGAAGGACATAACAAAAACAAAGGCTGTGTCAGAGCTTGTGTCACAGAGTTAACCTGTTCTGCTGGAAGCAGGAGTGATTGATAGAAAGAGAAAAGCACCAGGTGAAATGATTTTGTAAAACACCTTTATTAATTCACTGTAAGATCGGAAGTGCAAAAGCTTCCAGGTACAGTTGCCCCCACATGAAAAATGTGCACAGGAAAAAAAAAACCAAAAAGGACCCAAAAAATCGCTTGTGAATTGCAAGCATCCAGAGATACACAACAAAGTCCTTCGGGTGGGCAAGAGCTCCTTCCTGGTGCCCTGCATTGCCTCATTGTGCTGAAATCGGCTCCCAGCAGATGAGGAAACTTCAGGGTGCTGGAGGAAGGGCTGGGTGGGTGTTTGGGGGACGGTGCTCACGCCCACTGTGCTGGTGGGTGCTGGGGCTGCCTGCTCCCCACAGCTGGGGTGTTCGTGGAGCCCATCTCTGCAGCACACCCAGCTGCATGGAGATCATTGCTGCCTGCAGAAAGCAGCGGATGCTCGAGGTGCCACAGAGCATTGCAAGGGTTTGTTTTGTTGGATGGGTGATGAGACATGCAGGAGAATTCCTGACCTGGTCCCTCTGGGGTTACTGACATTGTGACCGTTCCAGGTATGAGCATATCCTTCAAGTTCTGACTGTTGGTAGAAAAAAAGGCACCATTCTGTGTTTTTAATGCTTTGAAACAAAGAAAAGCCACTGATTCACCTCTCTCCTTTTCATTACTCAGAGATGTTTTTGTCTTATGTTATCACTAATGATTGCTAATGTAATAGCAACAAATCAAAGAATTGTGTGACCAAAGCCATTTGCTTTTGGGGAAAACATTGAGAATGCTCAGAAAATATATGGAAAGAGACATCTCAGATCTGCTTTTTGGGCACAGGCAAACACCGCTCTGCTCTTCAAAGGGAATTATCCCTGTGCAGAGGACCAGCTGGGGACTCTGCAAGTAAACACATGCCCTATTCCTGTTTGCAGCAGCTCTGAACCCAACGGAGGTCCCACTGAGGAGCAGAGTCCTCGTGTGAGCTGAGCTCCCATCCAGATCCATGTGCTCTGTGGGTGCTGGCATTGGCCAGTGGCTTGGTGAGAGCTCTGACTGCTCTAATGTACCTGAACCCTGCGTGCTGCAGCTCTCCCTGCCCTCAGAGGTGGAGCTCTGCACACCCCTACACAGCAGTGACCTTCAGAGGCACCCGAGTTGAGGTGGGCACTGGCAGCCCTGCAGCAGCATGGCACGGCCGTGTCCCCAGCATGTCATGCTGCACTGACCCCCCCGTGCTCCCTCCACAGTGCTGTGTGTCAGCAGGGCCAAGTGTTTTCGGAGGGGACGTCAGTCCCTGTGCTCATAGGGTGCCCAGCGCTCCGTCACAGCATCAGAGTGGCACTGGGACAGTCCCCAGCTCCCGCAGTCACAGCCCGTTTCGTGTCAATAACGCAAAGGAAGGGGGAAGAAAAGTTTGAGGGAATGTGTCCTGGAGTTTACTGGGCAGCCTCCTCTGCCTCCTCCGGAGCGTGTGGGTTCTTCCCATCATTCTGGATTAATTTCACGATGTGTGTCAGGTCCAGGCTGCGGGTGAGGATGTCGAGCAGCACCTCGTCCTTTTGGACACCTTCCATGAACTCCTCCAGCGAGAGCTCACCTGTGACACACAGTCAGAAAGACTTCATTAGGTCTCATTATATCCTGCAGCCCTCATCCTCCACCCACAGCCCCCACACCAGTCCAGGAGTCGTTGCTGAACCATAGCACACAACCCAGCCCCACGGCAGCGCAGCCCCACACTGCAGTGTCCCCCTGGTGCCCACAGGGACCTATGGAAGAGCAGTGGGAGCTAAACCTTCCCCTCACCCACTGCTACGGGGCACCCAACACCCAGAATTGCTCCAGCAAATCGGGCTGCAGGGAAGGAGAAGGAGAGGGCAGAGCTTGACGTCGCATGGGAAACTTCCTTACCATCCCCATTGATATCAATTTTATCGAACACCATGTTTGTGAACTCCTCAGCTGTCATGGCTTCATTGCAGCGGTTGATGGCTCGGATGGCCTGGAAAGAAAGGACACACAGAATGGTACTGAATGCTGTGCAGGTTTCTGTATTGCTACAAGGAGATCAGTGATCTGACACGAGACACTTTTTTCCAGACATTTAAGTTCTGGAAGGGACAAGTAAAGTCCTTCCTAAAATAATGGAGATTAAACTCACTTTGAATTGCACTCGATGCATTAAAAGCTTAAGTGGGCATACTGGGATAAGCCAGGAGCCCTTCACCTCTGCAAATCCTTAGATTAAAT